CATGGTGGATCAATCTGACTGTTCTCAACTTGGTCATTGTGAAAAAAGGGGAGAAAGATATTCCCGATCTCACCGATACTACTGTGTCTCGTCGCCTAGGGCCCAAAAGAGCTAGCAGAATCCGCAAACTTTTCAATCTCTCTAAAGAAGATGATGTCTGCCAATATGTTGTGAGAAAGCCCCTAAACAAAGAAGGTAAGAAACCTAGGACCAAAGCACCCACGATTCAGCATCTTGTTACTTGACGTGTCCTGCAACATAAACGTTGGTGTATTGCTCTGAAAAAACAGCATACTAAGAAAAATAAGGAAGAGGCTGCAGAATATGCTAAACTTTTGGCCAAGAGAATGAAGGAGGCCAAAGAGAAATGCCAGGAACAGATTGCTAAGAGACTTAGACTTTCCTTCTGAGAGCTTCTACCTCTAAGTCTGAGTCCAGTCAAAAATGATATTTTGTAAGAGTAACAAATAAATAAAATCAGACATAAAAAAAAAAAGAAAGAAAGAAAAGAAAAAAAGGTTTTAAAGAAATTTAGTTCCACTCCCTCATTTACAAATGAGAAAACTGAGGTCCAACAAGATTGCTCATGATCATACAAATAGTTAAGGGCAGATCTGGGCCTAAAATCAAGCTGCATTAAATTCTATTGCAGAAATCATGTTGTTTCTTTCAGCACTGATAGTCTCAAACATATAGTATCCTGCTTTAATTTAAATTGTATTGTGAAATGTTCCATTAATCAGATTCTTCTGCCAAATATTCACATTTCTAGTCAAGATTATTCCTTTTGTAGGTGTTTGTAAGCATGTAATGGTCATTGCTACTTTTTCATCTGCTCTATATCCCTTCCTCTTGGGAACGGCTCCTCCCTTCACTCTATATGATAATGGTGGGGTTATTATCTTCCCTGATACATGTGGGCTGATGAGCCAGCTTAGCCAAAGTGCTCCATTCTCCTGGGCACAACAATTGGTCCAACCTTGGTCTATTAGAGGAAATGATTTGGGTGTTGGGGAATAGGGTCACTTCTCTGGGTCACTAGCTAGGTGAGTGATGAAAGCCTGTAGTTGCCAAGTTTGGCCAACAGGACATTAGCAGAGGCTTAAAATGTGTTTCAGTGGTCAGGTCTGCTCTCATAACTCTATCAACGCCATGAGAACAAATAAGCCAAGTGGACCAAGGATTAGAATCATGTGGTCCAAGAATGCAGCATAATCATTCAGCTGCTTGTAGCCTATGTCAATTAACTCCCAGATTGACCACAGATGCACAAACAGAATAAGTGCTCACTGTTGTATGCTACATATGTTGTAGTTGATTGTTACTCAGCAATAGCTAGCTGATACAATACACTGAGGAACAGGTGCTATGGGCCACTTAAAGATTGTCCTTACGCTCAGGCTTTCCACAACTTAACAATATCTACTAAAAACCAACTAGCCCAGGCCTTGTACTAGGTGTAGAAGATGGAGATACATAAAATATCTTTTCCCAGGGAAAACTCCCATTCTAGTGAGAAAGGTGAACTTTGATCAAATGATCATAAAATAATGTGACATGGTTCACTAAAAGAGTGAGCTGAGGGTCTAACTCAGCCCAGAGGAGCTAGGAGATGCTCCACAAAAGAGGAGGTTGAAATAAAAATCTGAAAGATAGTCATTCATCAAGTAGAGAAGAAGATAAAAAGACTCTAAGCAGTGGGCACGAGTGTACCCAAACATTAAATGTCAAAACATGTGAGGATAAGTGTTGGTCAGTCAGATTTTTTACTATACTAAGAATCACTGGAGTCATCACAATAAGATTTGATTAATTTAAGGGCCTAATTTACTACTTTGATAATTCGACTTTAACTGTTTATTTCACTATAGAAAGTTCCTATGACAATGATCTATGAAAACACTCAGTTTATTATCCTATAGTACCATCTGTAACATTAATAGCAAAACCAGATCATGAATGCTCTGTAAAGACTTTAAATGCATCAGCAAAGAAGTGATCTTGGAGTTATGTCATGACAGCACTGGAAGGCCACCAAATAAAAAGATGACTCGAAATAACTGCAAAGTAACCTCCCAAATACTAAACGCACAATCTCAAAGTGCAATAGCTGGGAAACTCTTCCCGAAATACAACAGTCAAAAATGGAAAGTGTTCTCTCGAGTAAAGTTTTCAACAGGAAGCCTCAGGCAGAGTCATGACACTGGTGTGTAGAACAATAAACAGATTTCACTTTAAGCAGTTTGCAAAGGTCAGTGATGTCAAATCAGAAATCTGTCAAACCTGCACATGACTGAAGTTATCAGCCAACAGCATCAACTTTGAAGTACGGGAATATACCGCCATCAAACAAGCTAGTCCACCTCGGACAGCGAGAATCTCGCTGACCATTTCAAACTACAAGATAAGCATGTAACTTTCACATCTCAGTGAAAGGAAGGGAGCTCTTGCTACTCCCTTCACTCCGCCCAGTACGGAAGAAACTAGGCAACGCGTGCAACGTCACAGTCCCAACACAGTCAACCACGCTGATCTCCAAAAGAGGGGCCAGACTTAGGGCCGGAATCAGGGTAGGGGTTAAGAAGCTAGAAGAAACCTGGGAAAGGAAAACAGAAGCAGGAAAGAAGAGCAGTATGGGGTAGACAGCGGCGGTCCCACATATTCGATTGGGGAGAGCAAGGAGGAAAGTCCCCCAGATGCAGACAAATGTCTAGAAAGGAATTTTCTACTTCGATCTGAGTTTCCCAGGAACTCCGCATTGGCTGCCCCTTCCCCGCCCAATCCCATCTGATTTCTCCCCTTTGGTGGGACGCTTAGGCGAAGTAAGGGGGCGCTTCTCAGGTAGCACATGGCAAAACTGCCCAGGGTAGAGTAGCTGCCGGGTCGCACGCCCGGCACAGGCGAGGGGAGTGGTCAGAGGCAGAGGTGAGATGAGTAAACTCTCCCTTACCTGCCGCAGGAGTTTCCACCTGGCGGCTCCTAAGGGTGCCGATACTGCGGGCCCCAGAACCGCGCCCCCGCTTCCCGGGCCCTCGCCGGAGGCGCGCTCAGCCTTGCTGGACCCGGCCTCGGTGACTCGAGACTCCATCCCACTGGAGCCGCCTACATACGAGACGAGCTGCCGCCACCACAGCTCTTCCCTTCCAGGACCTGCACTTCTTTCTTCCCTGTCAGGACCTGAGACGCCGGGCCTCCCTCCCACTGCCTTAGCCCACCCCCGAATCCGCATTTCCGGTTTTCGCGTCTCCTTGGCAACCAGGCCAGCGCTGCTGGCGTCATTGCACCATTTTGCCGGTGGCCACCTTGAGTGAGGGCGGACCAGGGGGAGAGGAAGCTGTGGCAGAACTAGTGGGACGCTGCTTCTTTTTGTTTTCTTCCCTCCTGCCTCATCTCAAGCTCGGAATACTAGCAAAGAATCAAAAGACGTATTTTTGCGAGTTAACCCAGGAGGAGAAAAAAATATATATCTATTCTTGACCACAATAAAGATGGCGAAATTTGCTTAGTGCTCGTGCTGCATTGGGGTTACGCAGACCGGCGTGCTGCAAACCAGCTCGGGCAGCTCTAGGTAGGTTGTGGTTCTGCGAGCTGTAGAACGCAGACTTCGGCTGGGCGCTACTGAGGTTTTACCTTCGCTCCGCAAGAGCTTCGGGTTCTTCGGCCTGCCTTCATTCGTTTTGGTGTCCAGAACCAGACTGACTGTCTTGCAGTTTGCGTACGTATGGGTGGCGTATGCTGGGGTTCTCTTCCCTTCTCTCCTTACCCATCCAGCCACCCCTTAGTCCCTTGGTCCTTGCTTTTTGACCAACGTCCCTTCATTGCGTGGCACATGGTAAACCATTGCCCTCTCGCATTCAAATGGCCTCATCAGTGGGATGGAGAGCTGCACCGGAGAAACAGATAGCTTCTCCCAGGAACACCTGTTCGTCGACCCACCCATCCCTAGCTGTACATACTGTCTTCTCACTGCGGCTGAGATAGATGGATTGAGGCCGCCCGCATGTATATAGTGATTTAGGATATTTATTTATTTTGCTGGTGTCAGCTGCTGATCCCCTATCCCTACCCTCCCGTTATTTTACTGCGACATAGAGATAAAGGGGGGCGGGGGCGGGGGCGTGATAGCGGATCAGAGTCATAGTAAATCTGACGCGGTATTGTACCTGTGATACCGAGGGGCATTTTGTGGAATACTTCCATGATGACATTCAACACTGTGCAACATACCTAGATCTTTCCTATCCTTATAATAGTAGCCACCATTTATTGAGTGGTTACTACGTGCTAGATATTGCGTTATGATCTTAATATAAACTCATTTTGTTCTTATAACAACTCCATAAGGTAAGTTTTGCAGATGAAGAAACTGAGGCACAGGTAGTAAGTGCAGGAGTGAAGAAGACCTGAATCCAGGTCTCTCTGGCTCTTAACTACTTACTAGCTTTAGTTACTTTAATAGGTTAATTAGAACCAGCATCCCAGAGATGGTCTCACATTTTATTTATGCATCCTGAAGTGTTTTGTTTTGTTTTGTTTGGGGGGGAGGAGTTAGCTAAATAGTTAAATATCTTTTTAATGTTAAAGTCCAGTTTGGAGTTTGGGACTTTTTCCTCTACTAGTTACTATCCAGGTGACTTGGGGCAGTTGCTTAAACTTCCCAGAGCCACAGTTTGCTCATCTGTACAATGAACATCATTAATAGCTACTCTGTCAGGTACTTATGGAGTTTAAATTAAACAAAGTATGTAAAAGTGTCTGGCACATAGCAAACACTCACCACATAGTAACCCCCACACACACACCTTTATTAAGTAATTAGGCTTTTCCAGCTTATCCTCCTTATACATATCAAATATATGTTCTTGATTGTTTAAGATCAAAGCCATTTTACCTTTAAAGCCTCCAGAGTTCCTGAGATGCCCCCATTAAGTCTATGTATATTTGCAAATTTTTATTTTGTTTTTTTGATTTGTTCTCTGTTTTGTTTTGTTTTGTTTTGTTTTAGTTTGCCCCCATGTGTACCAGAATCAGTGCTGCATAGTTTGAACCTGATAGGATTGACTTTACAATGAGACATTTAAGTCACATCTGCCAAGAAGTATGATTTGAATGAAATTTTAACTTATACAAGTTTTCAGATATTTTTAATCTGAGTTCTCAGCTGTCTGCATTTATTCATTACCTGAGGGGTACATGGCCCTGAAGGGGAGGGATAAGAACTGCAGATCTTAGATGTTGTGAGAACCCACTACTGTATAATTATACCTATGAAATCATTCATGTGCTGCCAGCCCCAAAGGGACCATAAACCAGGGACTTTGATATCATGCAGCAGAAGAGCAAATTATTTCTCCAAGCTTTGAAGTATAGCATTCCTCACCTTGGGAAATGCATACAGAAACAGCATTTGAATCACTGTAACTTCGCTGATCATTATTACAGTAGAATAAAATTGAAAATATATCAACAAACCAAGTGTCTGCAGAATAAACCCAAGATATCAGAGTTAGCAAGAAACATCCCAAGTCGGAGCTTCTCATGTAAGGTATGGACTGTTTAAGTTAATCTATTTGTAGGTCATTAAGATTAATTGTAGTTTAAAAATAATTCTAGTTTGATTTATTAAATGTTCAAGTTCAATTGTCTGTACTCAAATATAAGTATAAAAGAATATATATATTTATAGAGCTCTAATATAATATATAAAAATACAGTTTTATGAAAATGATTCACCTTAGAAATTCCTCAGTGTGCCTACTAGTGCAATTTAAAGTATAATTCAGTTTTTTTAAATTCCTAGACTATCATAATGACACAATAAATTCTAGTAATATGCTCATTTTTTTATGAATACCAAATTAGTAAACTTCAGTAAAGGCTATGTGCTTGTGTATAACTTCTTTGTAAAAAATAAATAAATAAAATTTAAAAAGGACTTGCATCTTTGACCACTTGGGTCCTTTAGGAAGATGCTTTCAGACTTGTACTTTAGGCAGACCCCAAGCTGCGGGAGTGACCTCAGCCTTGAGAACCTTATCCTTATATGTAGAATGACCACACATCCCAGTTTGCCTGGGACAGTCCTGGTCTACACCTGCTGTCCCTGTGTAATTATTCATAGTGTCCCCTTTCCTCTCAAAAGTGTCCCGGTTAGGATGGTAAATTATATGCTTATCCTGCTTGTTTGAGATCAAGCTGTTTGAGATCAAGCTATTTGTGCTGCTGCCTCTTCGTATAAGTACTGCGCGCTAACTTGCACCACTGCTGCGTCTTTGACTGCCTGCCCTACCCTATACTTGTTATGGTCCTTCGATTCCTTCAATTACATTTCGGAGTGATACTCTTGCAATACTTAACATATTTTATTATTTCAGTTTCTGGTTTTGATTGGTTTGTTGCATAAAGATTTTTCTTACTCTGTTTTGACTTCCTCGTTTTTTATTGTGATAAAATATGTGTAGTATAAAATTCGTGAAATGTATAATTCACCGGCGCTAATTACATTCACAGTGTTATACAGCCATCACCACTATCTATTTCCAAAACTCTGTCATCATGCAAAAAAACACACTCATTAAGTAATATCCTCCTACCTTTCCTGAGGCCCTAGTAACCTTTTATCTATCTACTTTGTCTTTATGAATTTGTCTAGTCTAGATAATTCATATAAGTGGAATCATAATATCTACTCTTTTGTGTTTGCCTTATTTCACTTAGAATGATGTTTTCAAGGTTCATCCATGTTATAGCATATATCTGAATTTCATTTTTTATAGTTGAATAATATTCCATTATATGTATATACCACATTTTGTGAATCCATCTCTTGATAGACACTTGAGCGGCTTCTATTTTTAAAAATGATTTCTTAATCCTGTTTTATTCATTTTGTCATTTTGGGGGTTTTTTTATTTGATTTTGGCCCTTGGCTTATACTTATTTGTGGTGAGTTTTCTGTGTGTGTGGTGTTTGTTTTTGTTTATTTGTTTTTACTTTTTATCTATTAGTTCCCAGACTTTTACTCCTTACATTTTAGTCTTTCAAATTATTTTTCTTTTTATAGCATCTTAGTTTAGCACTTTGATTCTTTCTTAACTCATTCAGAAATTCTTTATGCCTTCCTTTTATTTCATTTTTACCTTTTGTGTGTGCGCACACACGTGCAACTTTATCCTACTTTAGAAAGATAAACTTTTAAATTTTACTCATTGGACACATTTTAGACCTTTAGATGATTTTATTTTGCCTGTGTTTAGACCATTTTGTCATCTTGTGCTTTTATCTGAAGTCTTTGTTTATAAATACTAGGCAAGAATTACCGTCAGTGTGACAGCTGTGAAATTAGCTCACATCCTATGCACAGGGTTTACTTTTTTTTGCTCCATCTATTCCTGAAGCAACTTTTTAATTCTCTTTCAAAGATACTTATCACTTAGAAATTTTGTGTTGACTTGGTGACTCCAAGAAAAGGGACTCTTGGTTATTCTTTTACCTGACAAAGTGGTCCTCCTTTCACATGTCATATGTCGACCATTCCTTTCTACGAGAAATGATATCATCTAAAAGCTGTGGTGTCTGTCCTTTATGGTCAATGGGACGTGGGGAAGCTGTGAAGAGACCTGTAGACAAGCATGCGCATTTCCTTTCGGCAAGTATCCACTCATTTCCAACTGTGTCCACTCTTATGGTTACAGTAACGTAGAAAAAGTACTTAGTGCCTGTAGACAAATTAAAACATAGCTGCTTAAAGTACAGACTTATATAAGTTGACTAAAGAACAAGAGAGGACAGCGTATATGATAGAAATCCAAAAGACATTTCTAGTGTGCCTAGGAACTAGTAGGGACTCTAATCTTCCTGAGTGGGAAAAAAAGGGAGGTTCAAATGGGTGTTCTTGAAAAGTCCTCAAAGTACCTTAGCTTTCCATTTTACATTAGGCAGATGGCAAAATAAACTTCATTACAGTCATGCACCAGCTAGTAATATTCAAAGACTAGTATCAAACCAGATATATTTATCTTCCATATCACTCCGCTCTGCTCTGTCTACAAAAGTAATTTCTAAAATCTTTGATCAGGATAATTTGAAAGATACAAAAACGAAAAGACAAAGGAATGATAAAGGACTAAATACTTTGGTTAAACATTCGTCCGTTGCCAATTTCTAGGATATAGGTCAGCAATTCCAGGTTTCTTGCTTGCCCTCTTCCCTTTCTACCCATTTTCCATACAATTGGAAGAATGCTCTTAAAATTTAAATTACATCATGTCAATCTCTAGCTTAAATCTCTTTCAGAACTTCTTAATATATAAACATAAAATCTAGTTTCTTAATCATGTCCCCAAAGACCCTGCGAGATCGATCCCCTATCTCCTTTTAGCCACTTGGCCACCCCCATTCACTTTGACCAAGCAACAGTAGTCATCTCCCACAGTGAAAGAACGTAACTATTTTCCATCCATTTTAGGGCTTTTACATTACTATTTCCTAATCCATTCACCACTACATGTCTAGTTCCTTTTATTTTAGGTATTGATTAAATGTTACCTCCTGAGAAAGGCCATTTCTGACCATAGTAACTGAAGTAACTGTTACTCACTTTATGTTTAAAATTAGCCTTGTGTTCTTTATGCCACTTTACTACAACTGTTTATTTCATTCGTCAGTTACTTTTTCTTTTTTTCTGTCTTCCCAACTGGAATGTAAACTTTGTAAAGGAAGGGTCCGTGTCTGTATTGTTAAGCATTCCTTCCCTGTTGTCTGAGACAGTGCATGACATAGTAAAAAATATTGTCAGATGAATGACTGTCCCCATAAGTAGGGGCCTACATCTATTTTATAGAATGCTATTCTGTGGATTAAAATATAATTCTTGAACCTAAGTCCCAACATAAAGGGTTGAGCTAGACAAAAAAGAAAGGACTCAGAGTGTAGTTAAGGTAATGCCAGGCAGAGGGAGCAACATGTGTAAAAGCTCTAAGTCAAGGAATTACAGCCAAAATTGCCAAAGATGAACCAAAAGAAGTAAGCAGGAGCCAGATGATGTATAAGCAGTTTTGTAAATCTTGTGAGAAGTCTGAACTGCATCTGAAAAGGAATAGAAAGCCATTGAAAAATGTAGGTGCAATCAGATTTGCATTTTAGAAGAATCACTCTGATTTGTAAAAAATAGATTGGAAGTAGAGAGCCTTGTCAGTAACTGAATGAATGAAGATGAGAGCCTAAACTAAGGTCAGATCCTTAGAATGAAGTAAAGTATAAGATTTGAAGGAACATTAAACAGAGAAAATCAGTGAAACTTTGTCATTACAGAGTAGTAATATTTGAAAGATCTTAGTAAAAGAATAGAGTATATAGAGTGGTAATCTTTTATCTTTGGATTCTAAACTCCAAAAGCCTCAAAAATTTTTTTACTACTACTAATTATTACTATTATGATTAGCCAAACCTGACCTACACTGACACAAAGCTATTATGATCTTTATTTATCCCACTTAGTAGATGTTTTGCTCCAAATTCTTAACTATTTGATTACAGGGCGGTGCCCCCCTCACTAAGATAGGCACCATGTTAACTTTCCAAAATCACAAAATTCCAAAACACATCTGGGTCATCTTTATGTATCAGAATAGACTTATTTCACTCAAATATACAGCCTTACTGTTACTCTGATGTTAAGGGTAAAGGAAGGAGATGGAATAGATATAACTCACTATTAAGGTAGAGATTTTTATAGACAGTCGGATATAAGAGTCTGGAATTTGGGAAGAGTTGTATATATATAGGTACTAGTTGAAGCCATAAGAACCATAACACTATATTTACCTCTGTTATTAATTATTACGTCATTTTAAACTTTTTTTCTCTCCCTGTTAGATTGGAAGTCCTTGAAGACAAGAATTTTATAATGTACATCTTTATATGCCCAACACATAGCATAATGGCTACCATATAGTAAAAAAGCAATAAATGTTTGTGGAATGAATTAATAATTAAATGAATGAGGTTTTTTCCTTTTGATGTAACCATAAATTTTATTGCTGGAAGAAAAACCCCAGAAACCATCCGGTCTGAGCTTGCTCTTTAGGTCCTTGATCTATCTTGAATTCAATTTTTATTTATGGTGTAAGGAGTCGATGTTCAACTTTATTCTTTTGCTTGCGGATAGCCAGCTATCACAGCACCATTTGTTGGAAAGACTTTTCTTTTCTCATTTAATTGTCTAAGCACCCTTTTTGGAAATCTTTAACCGTAAATGTAAGAGTTTATTTGTGGACTCTCATTCCTATCCTATTGGTCTGTATGTTTGTCCGTAGGCCAGTATCACACTCTCTTGATTACTATAGCTTTGTAATGAGTTTAGAAATCAGGAAGTATGGGAGCTCTCTCTTTACAAATGAAAAACTAAAGCCAGACCCCAAGATTAAGTAAAAAATAATAATAATAGAAATAAAATAAAACAGAATGCCCTGCCACATGCCTCTTATATTCTAGTAGAAAAAGATAAATGATTTGCAAAGTAAATAAGTTTTACATATAAG